AAAACATAAGTTGAGCAGTTCCGCAAAGGGAAATTACAAGTATCATTACAAAAACCGATGTGTGTTGCACAGGAGGTGGCTATCGTCCCCTATTGGCTTATTGGATAATGATCTGGCGTTTTAAGTGACGGCTAATTGTATCAAGCCTCAGTGGGAGCAACATCACTCACTGGGTAAAGGTACCCCCAGCTGACGAGTGAGTTCCGAATAAGACAAAACGTGGATGAGTGATCCCTCTGCTAGTCACTAAGATCAATATAACGTATTTTACTTACGCTATCCAAATTCACAGAACGAAGTTCGTGCTAAAAATTCTAGTCTTTGTGTACACAAGAAGTCGGTACATCTCTTGGGCATGCAGTACCTAATAAATAACCTTATGTATTTTGAAGCTATTGAGAATTTTAATTCTTGAGGTAGTATTCTTCACGGACTGTCATCAGTTAGAGAAACATTTACAACTTGAGAACACTGAACAGCTGTTTTGTCCTAGTATCGGAGTCCCCAGCAGTAGGCACCTACAACCCGGCTAGGGGTCGAACTCAGGGACTTCAGGCTTTACGGCAGACGCGTTAACCATCCAGCCACTGGATCGGAGTTCAACGGTTTACAGTTTTCAACTCCTGTCTTCAGTTAATATCCGCTTTCCTTCTAACTCGTTGATCGTACAGGTCGTGGCTCCTCATTAGAACTTTGGGATGTCCATTCAGAAGCACGTCACTATACAGTAATGTGTTTTTGAGGCTAATGAGGATTTTAATTTTTTAGGTAGTGTTCATCACGGAGTGATATCAGTACATCTTATTGAGGAGTCCCATACTACGACAAAACAGGTGTTCAGTGCTCCGAGGTTTTCATTGGTTCTCTAACTGATATCAGTCCGTGATGAATACTCCCTCAAGTAACTTTATCACTGGAATTTTTTATTTCCTTTTCTTATTCTTCATCCCTTTCATACACTTAATATATTTGATTAGACTTCGTTTATCCCTTTACCTCATCCTCTAGTATTACGCAACTTTTATTTTTCCAAACATTTGACCCACTTTGGTCTTATTGGAGTTTTCACGTTTTCAGGCCGTTTTCTTGGTTTTTATCATCATTATCATTTATACTACAGCTGCTTTAGTCAACGCTGTCAACGTTAATACTTTCATTATTTTTATTATTATCACCATCGTTATTTCTAGGATACTTTTCACCTTAACCGACAAATCTAAATGATTGTTTTAGTGTTATTGCTTGAATTATCCTGTCTTCGATTGGACTGAATTAATCTGTCTCTATTTGCAAACGAACTCATGCGTGGATATCTCCATATTGCCTGTGTTCTGATTATATGCAGTAATGATGAATAGTAGCAGTGGAATCCAGGATGCGCGTTTCGTCCTATTTAGGACTCGTCAGTTGGATGTGCCTGCCTCCCAGTGAGTAATGTTGTTCTCCCCGGGACTCAAACTCAGGACTGATGGCTTCAAACGTCAGAGAGTTATTCACCAGACCACTAGAACACAGGCAGTATCGATTCATCTGCGCAGGAGTCCATATGCCATTCAAGATAGACCAACTTGGTCTAATCGACGAAGGGATAACACTAAAACTATACTCGTCACGCAAGAAGTGGCCATCGTGGCTTGGTGGTCTAGTTGATAGCGCTCTGACGTACGAAGCCATCGGCCCCAAGTTCGAGTCCCGGCAGGAACAACATCACTCACTGGATTGTAGGTACACCCAGCTGACGAGTCCCGAGATAGGGTGAAACGCGCAACCTGGATTCTACTGTTAGCCACTATCCATCATTAATTTACATTATTGGTTTGATTTTTATATACAATTAGCTATTTATATTGGAGTAAAACTTGAAGAGGATCTGATTGAAAACAATATTTTTCTCTTACATGTCCTGTTTTAATTTGCATGATGGGAATCCTCAAAACTCTTAAGTAGTTAAGTGCCCAAATCTACGAAATGTGCTTCCGACACCACTATTCAGTACTGTTGTGGTGATGAGCTTTTAGCCAGACGTTTATCCTGCTTTTAATGATTTCAAATAGTCTTTTAATTCTTCCGTTGGTTGGAGGTATTCGACAGGAAACCCTCCACCTAGATTGCATGCTTTTTGGCACTCTTCAGTAAGGGGCACCTACACTATCAAGGAGACGCATGTCCCTTTTCAGTTTCAAACCCATTTCATCCAGTTTGCAATCAAAGACGTTGCTACTGGAGAGTGCCTAACTGTATGTTGTCCAGTGCCAAAAAACACGAAACCAATTTTCAAAGTTTCCTGACAATTGCCTCCAACCAGCTGACATATATCAAACGTGAGGGAGATTGTGAGTTCCCTGGCTCGGTAGCTATATTACGAAATGATAGACAGATTTTGATCATCACTCGGGACTAGAAATATGGAGTTCATTACTTTATAGATACCAATGAATTTAACCTGTTACTTTGCTATAATGTTGCATCCTCCTAGATAAATAATGTATCCATAAGGCTTTTATTGCCATTTTATGTAACACCGTGGGTACAAATTGTTAAACGAAGCGACTCATGAACATGTTAATTATATTAAGTTGCCAATTAGTTTGCCTTGCAGATGTTATGGTTGTGACTAGTTAGTTCTGTAACCATGGTATCGATGCTAACACCTGCTTTTCGATTGGCTGGTTTTGTCATACAACCTATAGTATAGTAGTTATTCATCAAATTTATTGGTAGTTCTGGTCTATGTGAAGGCACCTTGTGATTTTTAAAGGACTCAGGTGCCAGGTTTCTAGGAATTTCTCCGCATCCTGATATCTGATATCCATTGTGTGTTCCGAGTTACCCATCTGACTTTTTATGTGTATTTATGCATAATGAGTGACGGAAGGAAGGTATGTCGATATTTTTAACGGGTATTCAGTGTTCAGAATAGGTTGGTCACCGTATTTTATGTGGTATGAAACATCACTTCAAACGTTTCGTTTTTTGCTTAAGTAATTCAATTTGCTGAAGGTAACAACGGACGAAATAAGCAGAATGTAATCAGAGATTAAATGCATGCTTGTAGGTAGTGAAACACATTTTTCATATGAAGGCTAGCGATAATACTTGGCTACACAAACCTCCATAGGTGGAGAGGAATTTGAACCCGTAACCCATCGATTAGAAATCAAGTACCAAGACTAGTCAGCTAGTGTGCCAAAAATGACAACAAGTCATAGGTTGAAATTGGAAAACGTAGTAACTTATGTATAAAAATAGAGGATTTAAGCTCTTGAAAGGATGATACCATTATGGTTTCAGGTCGGTATCCATTATGGACTGACATCACTTGGAGAAACATCAGAAACCCAGGAACACTGAACAGCTATTTCATCCTAGTATGGGACTCCCTGTCAGTGTGCACAAATGGCCCCACAAGTCAGAGGGTGAATCCAGGACCTTGTGGTTTCATGGCCAGCACGTTACCATTGAGCCACTGAGTCGGAACCCAGTGGTCCATACTTCGTAATTCTATCAGCTTATGATATAGCTCGGCCTCCATTCAATTCTGTTTTTGAGTAACTGTCCTTATCTTCGACGTGTTTGGCCCCATAGGTCACGATTTATTAGTGGAACTTCGAGAATCACCTCTCGAAGCCACTCGCCAGTGAGGACTAAATTAATTCAATCCTGAGGTTTGTGGAGATTGATTTGTTTATTACTGGCCACGGAATTGGAAGATTTAGGGTTCGATCAGTGGCAGGGGGTGGGGTTAATGTGTGCCCACTGCTGAGTCCCGAACCAGGATGAAGCAAACCTCGAAACTGAATTGATGCCGTAATGTTTTAAGATAGTTATAGGTTAGAACCAATGAAAACCAAAAGACTTTCAGAAAAGTGTCCTAATTTACACTACCTCATAGAAGAGCATTTCTGACTCTTAAAAATGAAAAAAGGATTCAGTTAGCAGTTGTTTTATTTTTTTCTACAGTTTGTAAATCAGTTTCATCAATGATTGACATCACTTGGAGAACCAAAGGAGTCCTTGGAGTACAATAAGGAAGTGCTCCATATGTTTGTGCTCCAATGTTTGTTCTTGTACTTTGCAAGAATTCATAAGTGTTGAGTAGTCTTAGGTTTAGATGAAAGAGATGTCCAGTGCTCCCAGGATGCCATTAGCTCTTCAAATGATGTCAGTTCACGATGAAAACGATTTTCAAGTTAGTGAATCCGTGAAAACCATCCTACCAATGGCGGATGTAGTGGTTTTATATAACTCAAGCGCTGCTCATAGAATTACTCTGTGCTCGGTAGAATTGAGAAAGCCGTCATCATAAACGTAATATACAAAATGATTTAATGAAAAGACCAACTGGAAGCTAGAAAGCATTATTTCATAACACTTCCGTGGTTATTTGTCAGGTCACGGCAAAGTTGTAGCGGAATACGTTGATAGTAATACCTATATGATATTATGCGATACCGTCGAAAATTGTAAAGTGTTTAGTTAATCATTGGCTGATTCTTCACATTGTCAGCAATGTATTTTACATACTGATGAGCTTATACTAGATAGAATGTGCCCTGTGAGTAAATATTGAAAAGCAATTATGTACGAATAATCAAATGTACAAAAACTGTCTCGGCAGGATTCAAAGCATCAGCTATCGGGTTACCAGCTCAGCTTCCAACGAACTCAGTTACCAAGCACAGCTGCTAACCAAATTTTAGCTTAATCTCATTTAGTGTGAGTTTGATTTGATTGTCACGTGGATACATCATATGTAACTAGCCGTTCATCATCACCACACTAGCTGCTCAGCAAGGACTAATCACCTCAATCCAAATCGAACTACATTAAAGAGGAAGGGCGGTAGATTGATTATTGCTCAGTATCGGCGAAACACGCATACACATTTTTAAATAGAATACATTTTCTGCTGAAAAAATCAGTGTTTATCAATCCTGCTAAAGAACTTCCCATGCTTCATTTTGTTTCATTCTTTTCTGTTGTTTATATATTTTCGTCAGTTTTAACATCATTATGTGGATATTGTTAAGAAAGAGAATGTTAATTCTGAATATTGGATGTGTTTAGTAGATAGCAACGGTTTACCCTTCAAATCACCCTTAAATACAGAAATTGTTGAAGTCCATAATGGTAATAATTATGATGATGACAACTACAATGATGATGATGGCGATATGATGTTTGGTGATGTACATTCACATAGGATTAATAGAGTACAACAGCATTCAGTCAGACTGAGAACTAATTTACCTGATTTATCAGTAATCCGCCAGCTACCAACATCAACTTCATCACTATTCACTGATGGGAAAAGGTTTTTAGTTTGTGAAGAACAATGCGTCAAAACAAATAATCATAATAACAACAGTCATTTAATTACCTGCGAACAATCTAACAAGTTTAAGCAGGTTTCAACAAAAAAGAAGAATTTATATAACCATCCAGATTACTCAAGAGCTTGGTAAGTTGTTAACTAGACTGATGCCAAATGAATCCATAACTTATACTGATTTTATGATAAATATTGATACAAGCGAAATAATATGGTGGGATTTAGTGTGATATTAGTCAGGCATTTTATTATAAGCATTTTCAACACTATAGTAGCTAACGACACATGGATACTTAGATATTGCCTGAAGTCTCATTTTGATGTTATTTAGTTTGAGTTGCCGGTTGTGGAATGCAGGGGATGCGTCTTCAAGACTAGAGACAATATCGGGACATATCCTCGCCGAGTTCATATATCAACAGAAACCGATCAGTTTCATTTAGTATAAAAATCAAGAGGAAATTAAAAATAGCAATGAATAATGAATGATTAGCGTTGCACAAGAAGTTTTTCTTGTGACACAGTAGCCCAGTATATAACGTTCTGTTGTTTGAAGCGATGGGTACTGGGTTCGAGCTTAGGCAGGAGCATCATCATTTACTAACATGTAAGTGAATCTGGCCGACAAATCACAAATAGGGCGAGACAAACGATCCTGATCCCACTACTGGATGTCATCAAGTAAAGTAACATAAAGACGAAATCTGACGCAGGCAGTGATATTAAATTGTGCCTGTTTGGTATATACGATACAGTGTTGAATTCTAAACAAAATAACCGAGGCCAATAGTTGATACATTCTAAAAGATGTGCGTCACAATTCTCTGAACTGATAGCTTAGGGAAGTGACTGATAGAGTGAGCCTTCAGTTTAGGTAATTTCCACTAGGGAAATTAAGTCCCTTCTTCCTCTCAAATACTTCTGAATCTACTCATTCATATGAAGGAAATATAGACCATTGTGGTCTAACCCAGTGGCTCAGTGGCAACGTGCTGAACGCGAAACCTAAAGATCCTGGATTCGATCCCTGGCGATTAGGGTTATGGTTATGTAATGCTGAGGAGTCTCATACTGGGGCGAAATAACTGTCCAGTGCTCCCAAGTTTCGAATTCCTTCTCCAACTGATATCAGTTCATGATGAATACCAAGTTAAATCAGCAATTATCTTTTATTTCACCTTTATTTATCCAGTCAAAAAAATTGATAGAACAACAGACAACAAGTAAACTGACATTATTTGTTCTTTGCTTAGTGGTGGCTAGCAGTCTACTACGCGCATTTCATCCTATTGTTTGTTCTAACTTACACTAGAATAGTCTTGTATTGTGATCCCTCGTCTTTACTAAAGGTTAAAAAACAATCAATGAACATGAAACGAAAATGAGCGAATCAGTAAAGTTCCGATAAAAATGTAAAAAAATGAGAGGGATAAACAAATGACTGAATTACTTTTTAAATTTAAAGAGAAAACCCAAAATGAGAAGAAACACCTATCCAGTAGTCCTACTTTATTTCCAGTTGTTCTTTAATTTCTGTCAGTTTGTGTGATGAAAATCCTTTTGAAATTAATCAAATCTCCATAAATTTCTGAATTTAAAAACAGGCTGTCAACTAGTTGCCTTAGAAGCGAACAAGATGCTTAGACGTAGAATATTTAAGCGATAAGAAATTCCTAACCAAGGTTGATAACGTCTAGGCCTATCAGATGAGTAACGTGACTAGACACATGATCGACCGTGGGTGATGGTTGAAGGTGAAATAAAAAGTTTGGCCTTGACGGGGCTCCAACCAACAATCCCCGGGTTTTCTACCCGGTGCTCTACAAACTGACCTACGAAGCCCAACTGCTGATCAGATTTTTATTTCACTTCAGATATCAAGAGCTTTGCACTACTACCACATGAATTCATGACACGGTACTATCGCTTGATCGTACTCAAATTGCCTGCCCAGTCAGGACTCCTTATCCCAATCCATATCTAACTGAATTAGAGAGGGAGTGCATCATATTGATCATCATTTGACTACCTGAGATAGCAGTGGTTTGGCAGACTTGTATTGATACTGGATAATAGTTGAAGGTGAAATGGTCATTAGCTTTTAGACCTTAGTACTTACAACAGGCTGGTGCTAAAAGTTGACTAAAGCTTTGGCCTGAAAAATTTTTAATATCAGTGGACTTCAATTTAGTGAACCCAGTTGAAAAACTTAGTCACTAACGACAATTATGTACCAGTTAACTAACTAGCTGTTGTACGTAACAATAATGTGAAAATCATGGATAGTGGCTAGTAGGGGAATCCATGACACATGTTTCGTCCTACTTAGGACTTGTCAGTTAAATCTACCTGCTTCATAATTTGCGATGTTCCCACTAGGACTTGAATCCAAATAACATCATAGCTAACCAACTCGTTCACCTCTTTATCCAACGCATATGACTGTATTTGTGAATATGTGGGTTTGCTGCCTTTGTATACATGTAGATTAATGCAAAACTGGTGATTTTGTAAAGTGAATGATTCATTCTTACAGTTGGTATCTGAGTTAACAAACCTAATTTTAAAATAATAGTGTTAATGAATTCTGTTATCCGTTTGGAAGGTATACAGTTATTCACCGAAATGCAACGTTTTGAGAATTTACTTTCATTTCCAATCACTTTCTTAATGAAACACAATAAATAGCACAAACTTTCAATGAAATTTCATATTCACAGATTGTTCCATCTAAAAAAATCATGTTCCATAAAAGTGTTAACGCCTTCTTTTGTTAACAAAATCAAAAAAGCAGAGAGAATATCAAAAGTGTTTATCTATCTGGTACGAAATATTTTAGATATTATCACGACTGAAAATAATCAAAAGAAACTTGTGATTGACATCAGTTTTCTTTTTATCATCATGATACGGTTGGTTGTAAAGATTTGAAAGGTTTGAATGAAACTGGTTGAATGAACAGATTTGTTTCCTTTTGGTGGATGATAAAAAGGGAAGTATTTTTCTATAACTATGACCCCATAACTGGATGTACCTACCTCCCGATGAGTGATGTTGTTCCCACCGGGATTCCGACTTGGGACCGACCGCCTCAAACGCGAGAGCGTTATCCGCTATACCACCGAGTCACATTAGCTAATTTATGTGCGGTGAGTATAGTTTTAGTGTTATTGCTTGTAGTATACCGTCGTTGATTGGACCGAATTCATCAGTCTCCGTTGGCATATGGGCTCCTGTGCGGATGCCTCAATATCGCCTGTGTTTTAATTATGTATAGTAATGATAGACAGGAAGCCTTTTCCACTGCTAGTCACTGCCCATCATTACTATACATAATTAAAACACAGGCGATATTGAGGCATCCGCACAGGAGCCCATATGCCAACGGAGACTGATGAATTCGGTCCAATCAACGACGGTATAATACAAGCAATAACACTATAAGTCCCATGTATAAAAAAGGCATTTGGGTGGCTCTTATTTTACACTGCTTAAGGCTTAAACACCTTTCACTTGCATTCAGCTGGCAGTCATGATGAATAAATCGATTATTGAAGATGTACAATACGATAGACTGAAGTAACATCATAAGTGCTTTCATGGCATCATGGGGTATTTCACTCTTGATACATTTCCATCACATTTAAGAAAATTAAAAAGATACGCACTATTCAACAACCCAGAGGACATGTTCAGTGGTCATAAATGTGTGTGGAAGTTAGTAGACTGAAAGAAACTCCTACCTTACCTGCTTCGTGGATGCAGCGTCAGCTTATCTTGCTGAAATGTACTGTCTAATAACTATCGACTGTAACAATGCCCGCATATGACAGTCTATATTTGTTAATTGCCTCTTGGGTTCCTAGTGGAACATACAGCTTCAGTAGCACGTCTCCATTCCACTCTGTTCTCTTCAGTCTTTTCAACCTGGCTCCACGACTGCCCACAAGCTCTCATTTCTTCCTCACACCATCTCCTCCATGTCACCCTCACCTAGGACGCTCAACTCGTCATTTCCCATTGGCATTCCACTCGACGACCTGGCCTGGAACGTGGTGTCCTCGAATGGTAATCTCAGTGTATGTCCGATCTAATCCATCTGCACTTTCTTCTATATATTTGTTAAGTGATAGGTTGTTGGTTGGTTCGTTCCCAGAAATCCTCCTCGCTTATTCTTATTATTCTGGCCATGTGATCTTCAGTATCGAGCGAGCGTGGGTGGCAGCTATTGATGTATGATGTCTGTAGTTTGTTGGAAATGCTTTTCGTGACGCGCCAAGTTTCTGAACCATATAGAAGCACTGACTTGACTGACATTAGTGTTGAAAATCCAGATCTTGTTCACGCTTTATGCTGAGTGGAGTGGAGTGGAGTGCAGTAGATCTCTGTACTGATTTCAGATAATTGCAGGAAGGCCTGTCTTGCTGTCTTTCCGATCCTGGCTTTGACATCCTCATCTGTGCTTGCGCCACCTGTAGTTGAAACGATGCTGCCTAAGTAGGCAGGCAGGTGAAAGAGACAACTCCGTTTGGATTTCTCCCGTTGATGATGATTGATGCTTGTTGCTGTTGGTTGGGTATCTTCATCACCTCTGTCTTCTCTACGTTCACCTGAAGGAAGTCCCGTCTTCGCTGCCTCGCCTCTTCTGTCAACCTGTTGGTTTTCGCCTGTACATCTTTGAGTTCCTTCCCTTCCTTCTTGCAAGCCTTCTGCGATAGTGGTGTGAGCATATCCGCTGTTGTCTCTGAATCTGTTTTCAGTGCTTCTGGTGGGATTCCATCTGGTCCTGCTGCTTTCCTGGATTTCAGCAACTTTATGGCGTTCAAGACTTCACTTCTGCTTTTGTCGGAGGGCATGTGCTCACTGGTAGTTCTGCCGTTGCTGGTTATTTGATGTAATGTTGTTAGGTCTCTCTCTGTCTCTCCTACCAGCAGCCTGTTCTGCTTCACTTGCCAATGTCGTAGAAGTATCTTGCGTCTTTGCGCGCACTCTTCTTCACTTCTTTTTCCAGTGAAGTGTTTTATAGGTTGTGTTCAGTTCCTCTTTTCGTTGTTCATCCCTGCACTGCACTGGTTCATCTTCTGCTTCACCATCTTCCTCTCCCTCCTCTATCAGCTTCCATGTGTCCG